CTTTGATCTGTAGTTTTTAATCTTTCTAAAACCAATAAACGAGCTAAGCCATTTAACCTTGAAAATTTACGTTCATAAATGATTGGATTTATAATATCTCTCCGCAGTCCAGGTATCTTTACCTAAATAATAAATTGCATTAATTAAAAATATATATATAAATATAAATGCGTTTCTTGGAAAATAAATACTTCAAAACCTCTTTCAGCATATTTTGCTAAGCGAACTTCATAGGAAGCGGATCGACACGAAAGATCAATAATATTACATTGTTTAATAAAAGCTTGATGTGTCTTGGGTGCAGCCCAAACATCTTTACCGTCAAAACATACTCTGGTCGAGTCGCTGTGTCATAATCATTATAATAATGTATATTATCATTATTTTTTCTTGGTTATTTTTCTACTAAATAAAAATTTAATTACATATCAATGTGCGCCATTAATTCAGCAGGAGTCTTGTAAGGTTTTAAAACAATCTAATCAAATGAAATTATTTAGATTATGATGGTGGTTTAGAATCATAATGAACCTATGTATAAAAACTCTTTTGTATTTTACCTGTATAATACGATATGGATATTTACTAACAATGTTAACTGAATATTTTCCACGAACACAAACTACTTGGAATGGAACATTTTTGGAAAAAGTTGTAAAAATATCCAACATTTTCTTTTTAGCAGCTTCTTCATCAAGTCCATAAATATACATATCAATATCAGAACTGACGAATGAAGATTTATTGTGGTAATAGTCACGTATCTTATGGACATTTTTATGAAAGATTTTAGGAATTGGTAAAAGACAAGCCATAACTGAACCTCCACCGACAATAACATTATTCCAATCTAAACCTTCCAAACTTTTTTCAGTAAATAAATCCCAATTTTCTTTGAAAGAACCAATACCACCCAAAGTTATTGCAGCCTCGCCTTCCTTTTTCTTTTTGTCTGGCTCTAAAGGCATAACATAAATAGAAGTATCTTTTTCATTCTCGGGAGAATTTGTGATTTTCCAAATATCTTCATTTTCGTAAACTTTGAACATGTTCAAATATTTGTCTGATAATAAAGGGTCATTTGAAGAGGTTTTGAATAATTCACAAAAATAGGAAGCTTTTGATAGAGCCGCATCGATCCCTTGTTCATCTTTTTTGCGAAAAGCAGATAAATAATCCAAAGCAGTTTTATCTTGCATTTGAAAATATTTGTTTGTTATAACACTATAAAAATTAATATTAATGCTGGTGGTAATAATAAGTAAGTAAATTTGTTAGTAATAATTATTACTGTAAAAATTTCAATGATAAAATCTTTGGGAAAATTTGGTACTGATAAAAATATTATTATATAGGATGTTATTCCCCGTGACCTACCTCCAATAAAAAATCCGATAAATAAATAAAATAAAAATAATGTATACATGACAAAAAAAAAAATACAATAAATACTTTGTATTTATTCAACCAATAAAATTAATAAATAAAATCCCATAATGCATAAATTTTGTGAAATAAGTTAATATATAAGTCATAGATCGAGTATATAGATGTCCACCTTAGGGTGCGACACTTATTAAAATTGGAACGATACAGAGAAGATTAGCATGGCCCCTGCACAAGGATGACACGTTCAATCTTGAGTGGATAATACCTTCGGGTACAAAATTTTTTTTTATATTTTCATATTAATCATATTTATATAGTTCAAAAAAGAATTTAAACTTTTTTTTGGCTTTTTAAGCATTTATAAAAAGTTTTTTTGATAAAGCATACATTATTTCCATATAATAGCAATTTTCTTTTTTTCAGAGAATACTTTCTTTTATGATTTGATTGAATGTGTATGAACAGTTTGATTCAACCAATCAATAATTAATTAATGAAACAGGATAATGATAATAAGCGGAAGAAATTGTAAACTTAATTACTTTGCTAATAAATACCCATGAATTTTTATTACATCCAGAGGTGTAGTAAGTCCAGCTGCTATCAACCCAATAGGATAATATTTAAAATGTGAGTTTTTTTAAATTGAAATCACTAAGATTATTGTGCACAAAAGGAACAACTTACAGCACTAAGTTCATCAAACATTCCATGTTTCAAAGCATACTTTTTATTATTTAAATTTTTCATAAATTAATTAAAGATTCAATATAAGGTTGCTTGACAAAACCTCCAAATGCAAAACTCTGCTGAAACTCTAATTAATAATCAATGTGTAACTCTGTTGATTGATTTCTGAGGAGTTTCACCCACAACCTTAATTCAATACATTGTGAGATAGTGTAAAATAGTAAATTATAAATCACGGGAAACTGATATATAAATCGGAGATGATTCACAAAGTTACACGCAAATAAAATCGGAAAAACTGATCAAGTGATCAAAACAGTTCAATTTATTCAAACACCAATAAAAT